AGTAAAGTGGTTGATTCAAATAATTTACACAAGGGTATATGTACATGTGTGTGTACACACATCTAAAGAGTAGGAAATCCTTTGAGTATTTTTACACACTACAAAGACACATTGATTCTGATTAGTTTATTAACCCAATTTCATTCATGATAACATTTCAAAATTTCCTATAGAGAAATTTATCTGTAGAAAACACTTATGCTTTAAATACTTAATTATGATCAAAAGACAATAAAGTATTACTCTTAAGGTCAAGATTTTTTTTAATGATTACAATATTAACAATAGTTCCTACTGCTTTCCTACACTCAAAGCAAAATGGTAAAAAAAAGTTTTTAATATCAAGTAGATTGACTGAATTGATTGATTTGTTTTTTATGGTTTATCAAAATTTTGTTGGTTATTAAAAGCTGAAACAATTTGGATTATAAGAATAATTCTTTTTTGTGAATATTGCATGAGAAATCTTTTCAAGAATAACAATGAATTTTCCAGATACAAGTACTAGTATTTAACTCATAGCTCGGGGAAGAGATGGATTCATATGTTTCCCCAAGGTATTTGCATATAAGTGAATATAATGACCCTAACAAGGATTTGAACTCAGCTGCCTGATTTATTATTCTTAGCTACTATCTATTACACCAACTGCAAAACCATTAATATCAAGTAGAAAAGAAGAATATTTTTGTTAGAATCTTGTGTTTCTTTGAATTCTTGAGAAATTATATTTCTTTTTCATTTAATTTTCATTGTGGGGCATGTTTATAACAACAATTGAATTCTGCACAAAAAAAATGGCCATGAGGTTGTTTTTGTTAGAAGTTTAGGGAACTGATATATTATTGGTTTGAGAAATGGTTTTCTATATGTCACCTTTTGTTTTATTGTGCTTTCTTTTGTTTTGTTTTTAAAATAAGTGTTGCCAAAATATAAGACCACATTATAAAATATACATACATACATACATACATACATATATATATATATATATATATATATATATATATATATATATATATATGTAAAAAATATCATTTTAAGGTGTGATGTATTTATGGGATAAAATGCTCAATATCAGAGATAGAGCAACAGGCCATTTCATGCTAGACACAATTGTCTGTCCACCGTTTGCATCTAGCAATGAAACAGCCTGCTGCCTCTGAGTGTTAACTTCAATGTTCACTTTTATATTTATATATATATATATATATATATATATATATATATATATATAATATATAAAAGCAGGATGTGTGTGTGTGTAACGAATGCACGGCTGCAATTTTCGACAGATTTGCACCAAAATATACATGTACATGCTCCAAGTTAGCGGGAAGGTGAAGACCAACATTATATTTCCAAACTCCCATCGATAGTGGAAATAATCAATTTTTTCATGCTTCTACGGACGTTTTCATGTAGTTTGTGGCCATTTTCTGCTGGCCAGAGTGAGAGCCTATAGCTGGCTGCCACGAATAGGCAGGAATATTCTATTAGCCAGCATGAGAGCTAACAGCTGACTGGCATGAATTTTAACTAGCATGCAAAAAAAAATCGATAGCTGTATTCGTCACAAGTGGGAAAAATTTAAATCTGCATGGCACTTTACTCCAATTGGCTCATTTGCTTGCTTAAACTCAACGTTGATTCTGATTCCACAGAACTGGGTTGGGTGTGAAAAAAGTATTTGTTGTTAACATTCTTTTTTTCATTCGGTTTTTCCAGTTACGAGTCCTTTTTTAAAGCTGATCGTTTTGTGTTCATTTTGTTTAGTTCTTTTTTCGTAACAGATTTAATGTTTAGTATAAAGCTTAGAAAAAATTTGCAGTGTGAGGCAAGAAGTAAGGCATGTAGCAACATCAGCACGGTAAAGGGTAATCCTTAAAGTCAAGTGATAGCGATTGCTGTATGAGTTGTACGATTTTTGAATCAAGCACGGGCAACGCCAGGCCATGCTGCTAGTATATATATATATATATATATATATATGATAAAATATAATTTTATTGTAGGCTATATTGATACAGTAAAAGTGCTCAATATTCTTGATAGAGCTCAATATAATAAATATGAACACTGATGTCAACATTGAGTGATGACAGTCTGTTACCATGTTTGAATGCAATCTTCAGACTATGACAATTGCATTCAAAAACGAAACAGACAGTTGCAACTTGGTGTTAACATCAGTATCCACATTTCTTATATATATATATATATATATATATACATATATATATATATATATTCTTATATAGATAAATTTTGCAAAGTTCCTCTTAAATCATTGGACACATTTATATAATTTTATGTACAGGGTGCAGCAAAATGATCTGATACATTTGTAGATTTAATAAAAGCAAAATAGGATAAAGGACACAAAATGTGTTTTTATTTCTGAAATGTACATATATCATTTTTTTCATTTCATTTAAAATTGCCAACATGTATTGAATGGCGAGCATCACACTTTCATTGTGGAAACATTTATCAAGAACAACTAATCGGTAACTGCAACACAAAAAACTTTGGCGCAAACAATCACCTGATTTGAACTCATGTGATTTTTTTCTGTGGAGATTATCTGAAATCAAAGGTAATCACTCATAGCCCTTTTATCTATTGAACAATTAAAAGATGCCATTTGTCATGAAATTGCTGCCATTCCACATAACGCGTTGAGTTATGGACAACTTTTGTGAACACCATCGACAGTATATGAAAAGTAATGGCACCCACTTGATTGATTTCATTTTTAAAACAAAATGAAACAAAATGGCATTTTATGTACATTTTGAAAATAAAAACACATTTTTAGTTTTTTACTCTATTTTGGTTTTATTAAACCTACAAATGTGCCAGATCCTTTTGCCATACAATATAGATGATCCAATACAAAGTGAAAACTTCCTTTCACTATTCTTAATTGTTAGCTTGTATTATGTAAATTTAGTTTTTATCTTTTGTTTAATAAGTTATAAACCATGCTGAGTGGCAAACAACTATCAGTGCTGAAAATGTCAAAATAAACTGTATGGCAACAACATAAGATTTCACCCAACCTAAGATTCTTAAGGCTCTAAATCACTTTACAAATATCAAAAAGTAACAATGATTGAAAATAGGCAATAGAACACATGACATAGAAGGATGAATGAAAGTTTGTAATGGGGTCAAGTTCAAGAAATTCAAGTTGAATGGTTCTGATGAAGTTGCATTCTATGGATGCGATTTGTCCAAAGAAGGTCTGCTGTTTTATCAATGTGTTCAAGGTAGTAGACATATAGTGGTTTGATCAACTTTTGGAACACTTGGAAAAACACTGATCAGCACTTGCCAAAAATCATTTATCTGCAGTCTTGCTTCTTTATGTAAAAAAAATTACTGGTACCAATTGAAGTTCAAACAAGACAATCCTCTAATCCATCAGACACAAAGTACAAAACAATAGTTTCAGAAACATAACATTGATTTTATGGGTTAGCCAAATTACACAGCACAACTATTACTATTCAAATTCATCACTAGTGACACCTGTACTAATCAATGATAGTTTCTGCAAATTGTCACTTCACCAAAAGAGCACAAGCCATTTAGTGGTAAACACCACTTAGGGTGAGGAAAGAGCAAAAAAAGGAAAACAATTCACTCCCAACACATCACATGCTATCTGGATTCTCTTTCCATGTTGGTTATTTTTCTCTTCAAAATCAGATCATGCAGTATTGCTATCGATTTCACACTCTTGGGAAAAGGGGTATGAATCCATCTATTCTTGCTATGACCAAAGGGTTTAAAAATAAAATTTGATCTCCAGCTTGTGTTGTCAACAAAACTAGGAGAAAGACTACTTGAAATTAAAAAAAAACTGTTATGTGCATGGCTGGCTAATAACTCCATCATTTTTACTCATTGCAGAAACAGCAACAGCAGCATTGAGCATGGTAAGGCTGTGGACCTCTTCACCAAATAAAAGTTCAGAATAACTTTAGTTTAAAAATAACAACTTCCTTTGACTATTAGTGTGTGGCCTGACATAATTTACAGTTGTTTTAACAATTCCACATTTTTCACAATTTTAATGGGTAAATGATTTTCTGCTTGGTAAAATCTTGCTTCTTCAGCAAGCTTCCATGAAGAAGGTAAAAGCCAGAAGGAAAATGAAGGACAAAGGAATGTTAGAGAGAAAAAGGAATATTAAGAGTATTGAAGGGAAAGAGAGAGTGAAAGATTTACATTATTTTATTCAGGCTGAATGAGAATGAATCATAGCAGGAGAGAATAACAAATTAGGCAATAAGAAATTATTTGAATTATAAGCGGAAAAGAAAAGGGAGAATGAGAATAAAAGAAGATATGAAGAGTGATAGACAAAGAGGATGAAAGAAAAGAGAAAATAAAATGGAAACAGTGAAGAAGACAGATAAGAAAAAGAGGGAAACTAAGATGGCAGTGAAGATGTCAAAGAATAAAATAAAAAGAAAGAAAGAAAGATGGTTTGGTGGCATATCAACTCTTTATGGGTCATTTAAGGGTCATTTAATTCTGAAATTTTATTTTCTTGGGAGTATTAGTAATTTTCTTGACAAAATGTATTGTTGGTAATTTTTTTTCCTATGAAAATGTATTGCTGGTATTTTTACTGTATAAATGTATTTTTATACTTTCTTAATGTTTTGTTCTTGTTTTGAGGTTCACTATTTACCCATAGCTGGGACACTAACACATGCTACTACACCAGGTCAGGTTGAACGTAAGAAGAACAATTAAGAGAAGATTCCATGCTCCTCAAAACCTCCTGATCAGAGGCCTTGCTGCTGTATGTAGCTTATTGTCATGCCCAGTATGCAAGAAAGAAAGTTATTAACAAAAAAAAATTGTCCTTAAATAAAGCTTAAGTAAATAAAAATTCAGAGATAAGAAATTAAAAAAAATTAAAAAAGAAAAATAAGAAAACAAGGTGAAATAAAAATTATGCTCTTTTAGCAAAAGATGAATTAAAAATGGATAGATAGATAAATAGATATGAACAGAATGAGATAGATAGATAGATAGATAGATAGATAGATAGATAGATAGATAGATAGATAGATAGAAACAGAATGAGATAGATAGATAGATATGAACAGAATGAGATAGATAGATAGATATGAACAGAATGAGATAGATAGATATGAACAGAATGAGATAGATAGATAGATAGATATAAACAGAATGAGATAGATAGATATGAACAGAATGAGATAGATAGATATGAACAGAATGAGATAGATAGATAGATAGATAGATAGATAGATAGATAGATAGATAGATATGAATAGAATGAGATAGATATGAACAGAATGAGATAAATTAACAAAGAGATTCACACAGATAGATAGATAGATAGATAGATAGATAGATAGATAGATAGATAGATAGGAAAGACAGAAGAAAACAGAGCAAAGAGAGGTGAAAAATGCAATTAATTGTGAAAGAAAGTAAAATGAGAGAAAATTATGTGTCAAAAGAGAAACAAAATGAAGAATCATATGGCAAAAGAAGTGAAAAGAAAAGAAAGATTAAAATGAAAAAAAAGGAAGAAATCAATGAATAGAAGGATGAAAAAACTAAAAAGAAAACTAAAGGTGAGGAAAAAAGGACAAAAATATTTTTCAGAGAAGAAATGAAAAAGCAGGAATGAGAAAATGACAAACAAAAAAAGAAACCTAATTTGAAAAGAAAAAGAAAAGAGCAAGAAGAATTTTAGAAGAAAACAGAAGAGATAAAAACATTCTGGAACAACTGTAAAGAATTACTAAAGAAAAATGAAGAGAAGAAGGTAGAAAGAGGAGGAAAGGTTTTTAAAAAATGAAAAAAGGCATAAAATATTCAAAATATGAGAAAGGTTTGACACATTTGATTGCATTGCAGGTAAAAATTATCTAATTAAGAAGAATCTCCTTTTGCTATTCTTTCTCTTTATGGCTTCCATCTTTCTTCACGACAGGTGCAACATTACTAAGTTAAACACATAAATACCCACTAATTTCTTGTTTCAGTTGACCCCCACCTGACAACAAGGAGAAAATTGTGGAATAGCTATTTGCAGACCCTATTTTCTACCCTGTAAAGGTATTTCTTGTACCAACATTTGGTTACTCTAACTTTTTTGTGTATGTGTCTGTGTATATGCATGTGTGTGTATGTGTGGGTACTTAAATGTTCCTGTTACTATTTCTGCTATGTTTGTCACCTGTTTCAATACAAGTCTTGTTGAAAGAGACAATTTTTAGATCAAAGCCCATATAACACCAACCTTGATAATTATTAATATTTTTGGCAGTTAGCTCATTTTGTTAAGTCTGGTCAAAATTTATTAGAAAGATATTTTCTCTTCTCTTATACAATTCTTGAACGTTAAATTTTAAAGTAAAATTTTACATGTGAAATTATTTCAATATCCCCACAAGGAAACTTACTATTGATAAACAGAATAAAAAATGGATATTTATCTGCTGATTTCATGGGAATAAACAATTTTATGTTTGTAAAATTATTTTTTATTTAATATACAGTATATCTTTTTAAAATCACTTCATATAATATGTATATAAGCTTTATACACGTTAATATACAGAGTAAGAGAAAATGTTTTTAACTACAAAATCATCACAATATCTTTTACAAAGACTAAATCAGATATTTAATTTCTCAATTTATATTTAGTGTTTGATAGCTACTTGCAAGAATCATTTCATTGTTTGTTTGGAATCCCCACTGACTTTACACATCAATTCCAAGTTTTCTTCATTCTTAATAGACTGAAAAAAAATAAGAATTGCCAACATATTTTATTCGAAAAATATTTAATTATCAGAAAAGAAAGCTATATTTATTATAATTGCAAAATCACCTTTTCAGAATGCTAGCCTAATTATCTTTCTCAATGTTAATGACAGTTTTTTTTTTAGTTGCTTTCTTGGAGGCATAAATAAAAACAAAACATTTCTTACCCCAGTTAACAACAGATTGTAAGTCATATTTTAGATTACATGACAATTCGACCTGCTGATCTCAAAAATGACCTACATTAAAAAAGTTTTAAAATTTGATTTTTTTGGTATTTTGATTAATTCATAAGTGCAGAGAATTAAAGTGTACTTTTATATGCAATAAAAGTTATTAATTTATCTTGGCCAGTGATAATTTCTATTGTTTTGGATAGACTCAAATTAATATTTTACACTGTGCCATGTGTCCTTGAGCACATCTGTATATGAATTTCTGGGTATTATAAGCCTATTGTCTTCAGCAACATATTTTTACCAGTACTCATATTGCAATTTTTGCTGTTATCATTGCATGTTTTTGGAGAGAGAATATAGTTAAATTGGAGACTTTTAAAAAATTACCTGGAATTATCATTTTCTTATTTTATTTTTTTCTAATCAGTTTCACCCCATGTAAGGCAGTAAAGCCACTGAAACACAAGGTGGTTACTGGGTCTGAAAGAATTAGGAATAGAGACATTAGTAATGATTCAGAAGAGAAAAGAGTAATCAGGACAGTAAATTGTGATTGATATTTTTATTTTTGGCCACTATCAAAAAAATTTGAGTCTTTCCTGGTCACTGAAGACAGGTCAACCACATATGAAAGGCAAATTTCAAATATGTATGTATGTATATATATATATATATATATATATATATATATATATATACTCAACTCTCCCATCAAATTCAACGTATGAGGGTCAAGCAGATCAGTTCCTAGGAAACCGACAACCCAACAACAGCACATGAGATTTGATTATAGTGGTGAAAGTTTTGTGCAGGACCATCCACACTTTTTGAAGTGCTGAATACAGAGACCTGGTGCACTAAGTGTTACAAGGTTCCCAAATGACCCCACCGGCAGGTTTTGAATTCAGAGTTGTCCTTCTCCTAGACCAGTTGCCATCGAAGTCTATAGAACCCAGTCTGTCCTGCTATTTACCCATAGCTCAAGGGAGAAGAAGAGGATTTACACCTTTCCCAAGGGTATTAGCATGTAAGTGAATGTAATGGATTTGACTGAATTCAAACTCAGCTATCCGATATATATATATATATATATATATATATATATATATATATATATATATATATATATATATATATATATATAATAAATATACATCTACCTACATTCAAAATGCAGCTTAAAGCTTTGTTGTTCTACCAATTCATCAGGAACGAATTATTAGTTAAAAAAAAAAAGATATAGATAGATAGATAGATAGATAGATAGATAGATAGATAGATAGATAGATAGATAGATAGATAGATAGATATGGACACATAGTTGAATGGAGCTAATTAAAATTAGTTAAACAGTTGGTAGTCTGGGGTGCTGAAGTTAAAAGTTTAAAAATTAATAACAATGGAGAAAATAAAATAAAGAACAATAAAGAAGGAAAAAAATAAAAACAAAAAAAAAGAAAAAAATTACAAACAACAAAGAGGAAAAGGTTTGTATTGGATAAATTTTAATATTGAGTTGACAGCAGATTTGATGTGAGAAATTTAAACTACTTAAAAAGATGCATTCCAAAAGCTAGGCAGAGTATTATGAAACAGGTGGATTTTGTTGGTAACAAAGAAAAGAGTACTGAACTGCTACGTGATATCTGTCCTCCTTTACGGCAGTGAATGTTGGACAGTCTCCTCAAAGATGAAGAGACTCGAGGCAATAGAGGTATAATTCTACAGAAAGATGCCAAGGATATCACTGACTGAACATTTGAGCAACGTTGAGAGGATGCAAACAAGGAGGAAGCTTATACTGAACATCAGGAAGAGGAAGCTGAAATTTCTGGGAGATGTAATGAGAAAGGAGGGTTTGGAGAATCATATACTCACAGGACAGCTAAAAGGGAAGTGAGATAGGGGAAGCAATGCATGTCATACCTAGTGGGCTTAAGCAAGTGGATCACGGAACAGGGTTTGGGAGAAGTAGCAAAAGGACAAAACATATTGAGAGCTACAAGGGATAGGGAAAAGTGGAGAGCCATGATCGACTACGTTCTGAAGGGACATGATACATAAAAGAGGACACTGAAAATATTTATACATAATTTTGTCTCATGATAGAGAGGTCATTATATATTTTTTTATTATTATTTATTTAGAGAATTGTTTCCTATTGATGAACTGTTTTACATTATTTGTTATAATGTTATGTTTCGAACTCCTGTGTTTATAGTATCTTGACCAATGATATTGAATCAAGGGCTATGCATGCTGAGGATGAGTTATGTCTGGTAGGAAATGGTCATTATCAGATTAAGTGGATATGTAGCATCGATCTGCTTATAGAGTTAAGAGGGTGTCATTGTCAGAACACCTTGCTTTTAATGATTGAGTGATTTGTTTTTTATGGCTTATCAAACCTTTGCAAGTTATTTAAAGCTAGAAAATATTGTAAGAATTTTTGGAGATAATGATTTTTACTGATACATGTTCTACTTATTAACCCATAGCTCAGGGAAAGAGGGATAGATTCATACCTTTCCCAAGCATATTTGCACATATAAATATAATATAATGAACCTGACTGGAATTGGAACGGAGTTCTCTGATTTCCAATTCCAAGCCATTATCCATTGCATCAGCCAAGTATCCAAGATTCCAAATGATCACCTATCGAGGCTTCGGTGATTGTATGAGAACATATGTTTCAACTGGATATGGCCATAATCCTTGAACATGTAGATATCCATTCTTTGAACATAGCTGTCTGCTCAGATTACAAAGCTTTGGACATAAAAATAATTTATGATTGAAGGAAGCAATGTACAGAGGGAAGTCTGGGCAAAGGACAGAACCCACCCACTATTAAAACTTAAAGTGAAACTAACTTCAAAAAGTTGAACAAATATAGTCTAGAGAAGGACAGTGAAGTGGGCTTTAAAATTTCTTAGCCTTGTATCAAGGAAAGTAACTGAATGTGTGAGTGAGTATAAATACTGACTTGTCTTGTATTGTCTCTTCATTTTTTACAAGGCAATAAAATATTACTCGTACATGTTTTATTTATATAATTAAGTGTATTTTCTATGATACAGTTTCCATTAATTATTTATGATATAGAGAATGACAACAAATGTTTCTCTTATAATTATTTGTATCAAGAAAAGGATCTTATGTGAATAAACAATGAATTAAATGAGAACAAAATAGAAAGTGGAATACAGCAAGGATTTATTTCCTCACAGGATTTATTTAAACCTGTACAGTTCTCAAAGGACAACACAAAATCAGATGTTATTATGCTAGTCAATGTTTTCACAATAAAACTGGTAGTAAACAACTGATATTAGGAAAAGTTTCAAGATATATTTACATTAAATATTAATTTTTCTACTGATAATAAAGTGGTGTATTGGTTTTCTGTAGATATTAAGTGATAAATTGACCCCTAGAATTACTGCAGTATCAAATGTTATTATGGAAGTCAATGTTTTTGCAATAAAAATGGTATTAAACAACTGAAATTTGGAAAAGTT